GCGTTTGAGGGCCGCGACTTCCTCAGTGTCGTGGCCGATGGCTTTGCCCCGCCTGATCACCTCCCGGAGGTCTTGGTTGGCGTGGCTCTTGTCACCCAGGCGCTGGTGAACAGAGCGACGAACGACCGGGAGGCTTCGCTCCGGCCGGCTCTCCCCTGTCTGTTCCGTGGGAGCCGGTCTGGTACTCCTGTCGCGGCGGTTCTGGGCCTCACGGTTCGGCGATTGGGCCGTGGTTTTGGACTTCGCCGGGTTCCTCTGTCCACCGGTCTCCTTTTCAGGAGTGTGGAGCAATGTGTTACCGGGGTTCTCCGTGGGCACTACAGTGTTTGCCCCGGCGTTTTGACTGGCGAGGGCCTTGGTGAAGTCCCCCTCGAGGGCTTTGAGGACGTCGGGGTGCTGCAAAGCCGCAGCGAAAGTAGGAACTGGGGGTACGGGGACGATGGGCCCCTGCTGAATGCGACGGGAGGACTCCCCGCCGTTGAGGCGGCGAGGCTGGGAGCCGGACTGCTGGGTGGAATCGTCATGTCCAGATGAAGGCATTTTGAGCGGTTTTTAGAAGCGAAGAAGTGGGGAAAAAGATGAGCGTGGTGTGGAGTTTTACAAGATCGAAAAGTTGACACCAAATAACTTATGATGCCCTCCTTCTAGCGCCATACTGTTGACGGACGTTTCCGGTCAACGGTTAAAAAGGTAAATAATAGAAAAGGAAATAATGTAAAGACAAGGAAATACGGTTTGATTGCGGTTTTATTGATAGATCGCGAGGTCGGCCTCTCGTACGAGGTCGGCACTTGCAATATCCTTACAAATTATTACAGAGTAATCACACGAGTTTTTAGAGAGAGGAAGTAGAGAGAGATAGCTTTTACAGTTGGGATTCAACAACCCAAAATAAATGAGAAGGGTTGCTATTTATAGTAGCCTTAAATGTGGCACTGTTCAGGTACTGTTCATCAGTCTTGTCGCACAGTGTTCCTGCAGGACAGTCCGGCGCCTCCCTGACAGCATTAAATGCGATTTGAGGTTTTCCTCATCATTAGGTGACAGGCATTTAATGCTGGCAGGCTTTATGTCTTAGCTAAGAGGAGTAGGTCAGCAGGCTATGATGTCCCATCCATTTAGCCAATGATTGTCCTCCAAGTGGCATTATTATACCATTATAGAGATCGGCATTCTCCGTTGTAGAGGCCCGCTCTGGACCCCAAGTCGGCACCTCGGCATCTTACCTTCATCTGTTCCCCTGGTCCTGGGGAATCTTTCTTTCAGTCCGTCATTTTTCAGCCCGGCACCCGTGGCGTCGTAACCGAAAATACCGAACTGACGAATGGTCTCACGGCGATGCCAGGGTCAAAAAGTTTTTCGGTCCAGCTCGGCACTCTATGGGTGGACCGGATCTCTGGTTCGGCTCTCGGAACCTGTCCGGTTCGGTCTTATCGGCGAACTCGGATGTCAACATACAGGCCCCCGGGTTCAGAGAGGGTGTACTCGGCATCCTCTGTGAGGCCGTCATCTCAGAATACATCTGAGGTCGGCGCAGGACTTGGACTTAAACAAACTGCAACCATCATTTGCCCGTTATCTCCAGACCTGAAGCGACATCTCATTTAATGCGTCGTGACCGTTACGCTTCTTGTCGGTTACGAAAAGGTGTGCCGGTTCAGAACCTTTACACGTGTCGTTCATTAATTGGTGCTCTCCAAACGTCGTGTCGTCTCAATGAAACGGTGACTTTTGGGGCGCGTGGCTTCCACGCGGCCGTTTACGAACCGTCGGATCGTTTCGCTCCCAACCGTCGGATCGAGCATTTAATTTCGAATTTCAAACGCTTTGCCACGTGGAATGCTGTGATTGGCTCTCGGTTTATATATATATTTCCGTCGTCTTCCTTGGGAAACTTTTACGAGCTTTCAGAATTTTCGAGCAAACAAATCTCTTGAGCAATCAGACTTCCGAGCAGATTTACAGAGCGATTTTCGAGGTCCTTGCAGCTGTCCGGCGACTCTCATATCGGTAATTCCGTTTATCTGAAACCTTTTCCTTCATCTTCTTTTGATTATGTCGAATTCGTCTGAGCACGCGGCGAGCCTTTCCGCCGGAGGCGGCGGGTTTACGGTGGA